CTTGTTAGCTTCTATATATAAGTTATTAGGAAGACAATGTAAACAGAGAAAAGTATAAAGATATAATTAAAGTCAAGTTCAATTTTTTGGAAAGTATTTTCTACATAACCGATTTCGGGGCTAAGCACCAGATCGAAAATGTGACTTCCTGAGTGCCCTCGGGTATGTAGCCCTTTCAGCAATAGTTCCCGAGGAAATTTCAAAAGTATAAAGCGAAAGACTATGAAGGAGATAATGTCAACAAGGAGTACTACGTAAACCTAGTATGGATTGGGACTACAAGAAGAGTATGTGTCATTCAAAATAAAGTATCTAGCGCGTAGTGACTCCGTGTCAGAAATTGTCAATGGGTCAATTTATTTGGAGTTTTGTAACGATTACGTGAATTATACTTATGGGACAGTGAACAGTAAAGCATGCAGCATATTTTTGGTTGTGGGATGTGAAAATGAACTTTGCGTTATGCACTTCTTTCAATTACGTTTGAAGGTTTTTTCCTTAATATTAAGTAATTGAAAAAAAAAACTATTGGTCTATTGGGTATGAAAATGACTGAAGTAAGTTTTTTCATCCCAGAAGTTCATAGTTTTTGAATTATGAGAAAACACCTTGGTGTGCGTTCAAAGCTAAAAAAAACATAATAATGAAGTGAGGAATACTCTAAGCAAGTTGTAAGTTGTTATAAGAAGGAGAGGGTAGATATAACAACAAAAATTCTAATTGTTTTAGCTCTTTGATCAACTTGCTGAACTCTATGGTGATATCAGTTATCTTGACGCATATGTTGGAGGAATGCTCGAAGGAGACAATGGACCGGGTGAACTCTTCAAGACTATCATTATGGATCAGTTCGAGCGTTTGAGAGACTCTGACAGGTAGGTTAATGATTCTTTTAAAAAACCTAAAACTCCAAAATAACATAACTTTTATTCAAGATTCTGGTTCGAGAATACTCAAAATGGCCTTTTCAACGATACTGAGATCCAGATGATTCGAAATATCACTTTACGTGATATTATTCGGGCTACAACCGAAATTAATGATTCTTGGCTACAAAATGATGTGAGCGCTACCCTTACTTGGTCTTTAAACCTTCAAAACAAACAAAATCCATAATGAATGTGTGTTAGCACCTTCTGTCTGCCATGAGAAAGCCAATTGAAAATCAAAAAGTTACCTTTTTTTTCCGAGAATTAACATGACCGCAACCAAAAGGGTAACTAACGTCGAAAACAATGAATTTTCGAATTTATACAGTTGCCTTTTTAGGTGTTCTACTTTCATGATGGAGATCCATGTCCTCAGCCTTTCCAGGTCAATGAAACAGGTAGCTTTTATTTTCTAAAAGTAAAGTGTGTTTTTTGAAGTAAACCTCCATTCATTGGCTCAGAATGTCGTGTTCAGGTCTGGAACAGTGCATTCCATTTATGCGATTCGACCATTTCACTGGAAATGAAGTTACCTACATTTTCACACTCATTGGTCTCGGATGCATACCACTGAGTAGGTTTTCTTACAGGCAGTTGATTTTTTGCTATGGCCAATATCTTATATATATGGAACAGATACTAGAGCAAAGTCACAGGAATGACAACAGC